CTCTCTCCCATGCCACTGTCAAATCAGATAGTGTCTGTGTATGGTTGGATTGCCACCACAGTCCACATGGCAGGCTTGCCCCTGCTGGACCCATCAGTGTACCATGCATCTGAGAGAATAGGTACCTCCCCTTCATGGAAGGGGCTTGCTTCCATTTCTTCTATAGGGACAGGAGCGGTAGATTTTTCATCTTTGTAGGTAGCAGGGCTGAACACTTCCTGCAACTCAACCCATAGGGGGCTAGTCGACAGAGTACTCCTTTGTTGCAGATAAGCCCCCCACTTAGCCAATGTGGGCACCTGAGCAGTCTGACTGTGAGGCTTGGCCATGCAGTCTCTGACTCACCCTGCAATGGAGTAAGTGCTCATTATGTCACAGGGGCAGCTCCTGTTACAGCCTCCGTGGCCAACAGGGCAGCATATACTGCAGCTGGTTGCTTTTCAATCAGGGAATACTGTACCTCTGCTCTTTTTCATAATTGGGACCAGAAACCCAAGGGTTGACATAGCCATTCTGATCACTGCCACAGACCCCACCCAAAGCCTTCTTGTGTCATCTGCACATCTAGCACACAGGGTCTAGCAGGATCCAGAGCATGCAAGACCTGAGCACATTTAATGATGCACTTTGCTCCTTGGAATATTTGTTCCAGGTCAGGGTTCAGTCCCAGCCTACCCCCTTTTTCACCAAAGTGAACAAGGGGCAAACAACTTGAGCAAGATGAGGCACAAACTTTCTCCTGTACCCCAGCAGATCCCAAAATGTCTGGAGCTGTTTTGCAGTAGTAGGGATAGGATACACCTGAGTTTTATCTATCATCACATAAGGATGACTTGTCTTACCTGACCAGACAACCCCCAAGAATTTTACAGATAATCCAGGTCCTTGCAGCTTGGTTTCATTGACTTCCCAGCCACATGACTTCTGATGGGATAGCACTTGAGTCATTGCCTTCTCTAACTCTGTAAGAGAATCACTGGTTAGCAAAATGTCATCAGTATAATGGAAGAGGTGCACTTCTGCAGGCCATGGCCACTTAGCCAGGTCCTCTGCCACAAGCCCATGACAGATAGGCTGTGCAAGTACCCTTGAGGGAGTATTGTAAAGGTCCACTGTCAGCCTTCCCATGTGAAGGCAAACTGATCTTGACTCTCTGGAGCAATATCAATAGAGAAAAAGGCATCTGCTAAATCAGCTACAAATGGTAAGATCCAAGCTCATTAGTTAATTGGTTGATCAAGTCCACCACAGAAAGACCCACTGCATGAATTGTGGGAATGACCTTATTCAGCTCCCAGTAATCTACTGTCATTCTCCATATGCCATCTGGCTTCCTCATTGACCACATGGGGGAGTTAAGGGACTGTGAGTGGCCCTAATTGTCCCTACCTTTTCCAACTCTCCTATAGTTGCCATAATTTCCTCATGTCCACTGGGCAACCGATATAGCTTTGCCACCGGTACCCATCATGGGGGCGGCAACTGAACAAGGGGTGGAAGATGCTCAGCATAGAATGGCTTTTACCACTTGCACCCTCAGACGAAACTCTCTCACAGTGGTATTTAGTCACTATCCCTGGAGCACATCAATACCCAGGATATACTCAGGAATAGGGGACACATAAACAGTATACTCACAGGGGGACAAACACCCGATGCCCAGAGAGAGCTGCACAGCCTTCACCTTTACACTATATCTCTCATAACCATCAATAGAGGCCTCAGGCCCTGGGCACTTGTCAGGGTTTCTATACAGGAGGGTACACTCTGTTCCTGTATCTACTAGAGTCAGGAACTGCTGAACATTTGTAGGGGACCAATGGATAGCCAATTCTACATGTGGTCTCTGGTCCCCATCCATCCCCTGTAGACGGGTTCCTTAGCCTTACCCCTACTCAGATGTCCAAAGGGTATCTCCTCCCCCTTCTTGGGAGGTAGGCATAGCCAGGTGGTCTTCCAGCTGGACTGGATGTGCCTCTTGGGTTGAGTCCCTAGGCTTCCTCCTCACCGACTTCTTCTGGGGCCTTAGGAAATGTTGGTCAACTCACAACTGTTTCCTAAGTTCTAAGTAGGTGTTTAAGTAGGTGTTTGGCTTCCTATCAATCTTAGTTCAATCTACTCCAGCCCCTTAAAGGTCTCACCACATCTGTGTCCTGGTCACCCACATGGGGGGTACTGTTTGACTGAGAGACAGAGGAAGCGTGGGATACTCCTTTCTGCTGCTGGTGGGTCTCTGCCTCCCTTAGACTTAGCAACATGGCAGTGATGTCATTAATGCGATGGCTGACAAACAGGGCCAGGATTGCCATGAGGGATCCAAAAGAGACAGAAGGAGCATGTTGTAACATTAGATCCCACATTTCTGCCATAAAGCATTCATTCATCATCAGACCCCTGAGTATTGGGATTGAACATAGCCTGGCCCATGCCCAACTCCCACAGGATTTTCACTAAGTCTGCAAAGGATTGCCATTTGCTCACAGAATTTGGCACTGTCTCTTGCATCTGCCCAGATTATATGAATAGATGCCATGACCCACTCCAACATAGAATGCAATACCTGCCCAGGTCCATGCCACTGACTATTCTGGAACCATTGGCACAGAGAGGGGTGAGTTGTGATGGAAGCTAACTTTTCCATCTCATTATCACTGCACAGGATACTATCCACCCCTAAATCACAAAGGCATAAGAGTCATGCTGCTAAGGGCTCCCCAGGTCATCAGTGAAACTGATTTGTGAGATTGACCAGTTTAGCCTGTATAGAGGGACAATAAGTTGGGTCCCTAGGTGGGACCAGCTGGATCTCCTCCAGGTGCCAGAGGCTGCTGCAACTTCATCTTCTGTAGCACCACCAGATAAGCCAACAGGGATCTCGCTTCTTCCCCGTCCTGCAGCTCATCTGCTATGAACAGGGAGGGAGGAGGATTGCCACAACTCTGCCAGTTGGAGGCCTTCCTTTAGGGTACAGATTCTAGCCACCAAGGCTTCATCTCTTCCTTGCAGTTCACGTAACTTCTCTGTGTCATGAAGTGCAGCCTCTGCCTTAGCTCACAAAGCTGAAAAAAACACCCAGCCCACAGCCAACCAGGCACTCGGCTTCTCTAGGGTCTCCCCTACCACCCAGAGGGCCTTCTCTACTGTGTCAGGTGCGCCAGTAATGTCGAACCAGTTCTGGGGGGGGGGGGGATCCCACGTTGCTAGGAGACTTGTAACCAGATACCACATACCAGAGACCAGCCACCATTCCAGACCCCTTTCCAAGGATATGATGGTTCCTCCACATTCATACCATACTCCAATGAATCCTGCCAATGGTGCCAATTGTCTTGCAGCCCTTCAAGGCCAGGCAGATTCACATGGGATTTGGGCAGATGGAAGGAAATTAGTGGAGCTGTGGGAATGCCTTACATGCCTTTATTCAAGGGTGGGGTGATTCATGCATGCTGCAAGCCACATGTTGCTCAGGGTGGAAAATCCCAACTTTATTATATACTAAATGAACACAAAACTGGCAGGATTCCAAGATACGATATAACAAAGCATGATTCTGTGGCACATTCTCAAGCTTATGGGAATACTGCTTATCTTAGTTGCCTGGACATCTGGGTGAGGGAGCCTGACTGACTCCATTTTTTTACACATCTCATACCCATTAAGATGGCCATTACCAAAAAAATCCTAGAGAGTAACCAGCTTGGGTGAAGATGTGGAGAAACTAGAATACTTTCGCAGTGGGATTGCAAAATTGTGCAACAGCTACTATGAAAAATAGTATGGATTTTTCTAAATATTAAGAATAGAACAACTATATAATCCAGCAATTCCACTTTTGAGTACATATCTAAAAGAATTAAAAATTGGATCTCAAAGAGATACTTGCACACCCATGTTTATTGTAACATTATTTACAATAGCCATGATGTGAAAACAACCTAAATGTCAATGGATGGATGAATGGATATGGAAAATATGATCTCTAGATATAGTGGAGTATTATTCAGCGTTAAGAAAGAAGGAAATCTTGTCATATGCTGCAAAACAGATAAAACTTGAGGAAATTAGGCTAAGTGAAACAAGCCAATAACAAAAAGACAAAGACTGTGTGATTCTGTTTATATGAGGATATAAGTAATCCAACTCATAGAAACAGAAAGTGGAATGGTGGTAGCAAGGAGCTGGGAGGAGGGGGAATGGAGGGGTTGTTGTTCAATGGGTGTAGATCAAGGATGTCAAACTCATTATCATCGGGGCCACATCAGCCTTGTGGTTGCTTTCAAAGGGCTGAATGTAATTTCAACTCTGTAACAGTTAAGGAGTAGTTACCTTTATACAGTCCTAAAACTACATTCAGCCCTTTGAAAGTAACCTCGAGGCTGATGTGGCCCCCAGTGAAAATGAGTTTGATACCCCTGGTATAGAATTTCAGTCACACAAGATGAAAAAGTTCAAGAGATCTGTTGTATAGTAATGTGCATGTAGTTAATAATACTATACTCTCCACTTAGATATTGTTTTTTTTTAAGATTTTATTTATTCATTTAGAGAGAATGGAAGGGAGGGAGAAAAAGAGGGCGAGAAACATCAATGTGTGATTGCCTCTCACATAGCTCCCCACTCGGGACCTGGCCTGCAACTCAGGCATGTGCCCTGACTGGGAATTGAACTGGCGACCCTTTGGTTTGCAGCCCGAGCTCAATCCATTGAGCTATACCAGCCAGGGCTAGATATTGTTAACAGGATAAATTTATGTTATGTGCTTTTTACACCTGTGAAATAAATTCATGGGAAAATTAAAAATTATAATTACAAAAAGGTATAGAATGTAACAAATATCTGTGTACACACACCGAAATTTTTAAAATAAAACAGGAATACAAAAAAATAGGTGGAGAACCACAGTAGAATTTTGCAAATCTAATTAAAATGTGTTTTTTTTTACTTAAGGATTTTCCTTTTCAATGTATTAATTTTCTTATCTTTCTTTTGACCTTTGTCAGATATTTAGATGACATCTCTGTTGATGTGCTTCTATGAGATTCCCTGGAGAAATTAAAAGGCACAGGAAAGCTCAGAAGATGTGCTACCAGGCCTCATAGGAACTGCAAATTGAAATCTGGATTGTCCCCTTGATCCCAATGACAGCCTGATACACCTCCTGCTATTTGCCACTGCATGCAAAACTCAGCAGAACTTCCGGTGCTTAGCCTACTTGTCTCTGCTTCTCCAGCTGAGTGCCCACCTTGCTGTAGGCCCCACATTCTGCTTCCCATCTTCTCTTCTGGTGCCCCACATGCCAACTCCCGAAGAGGAGCAACTGTGACAAAGTCTCTCTTGTCCAGCCTGGTACTTTGGCCCAGGCACCATCCCACAGACCATCAGCTAGGTAGTGAACAAGTGTACAAAAAGTGACCTGTGTAGGCAGGATAATTGGCAGGCCCTTGGGAGCTTCATAGCCTGTCCAGGTCACATCTAATGGGTGATGCTCCGTGCTTGTGCCAAAATTCATTTTTATTTCATTTAAAGATAAATCAGGAGAAAGCAAATCTTTGAATAACAAAGCTATACCAAAAATAATGTGGTCTGCTCTGAGCTTTCTTTTCCTCTTTCTTTAGGAGTTATTTTCAGTTCTCTGTGGCAGATGTAGAGAAAAAATATGCACACTGTCTATATGGACACTGAGGAGATGCCCTGAAACCAGCCTGGTTGGGCTGGTCTGAGGAAGTGATGTGGGCATTGAGTGGGAGTTAATCACACAAACAAGGGGAGGGGATAGTGCACACTGGCACAGGAAAGAACTTGTGTAAAGTCAGGGAAACAGGCAACAGTGAGCTAATGTTAGTGGAATCTCACTATCTAATCTCCACTCTGCACTTTATCTTTGCATCCAGTGCCTAACAAGTAGTACCATCTTAATAAATGTGGAATGACTAAACAATTGTACAAGCAGGAATTCTCATGTGGGAGAGCCCAGTGAAAACTCACAATGAGCAGAATATAGTGGGCATATTGAGGACTCATTATCATAACATGTGTATGCTCTTCAATATTTGTGGTTACAGAAGTAGAAACCAAAATAGCTGAACTGCTTTTCATATCAGAGGAGAAAAAACATGAAGCTGATTGCTAAGGAGGGGGGATCTTGGAGGGACAGATGTGAACCTTTGTGGTTGGTGCTAGGGGCAGGGTGAACAACCTGAGACAGTGAATAGGACAGAAATATCAAAATTGAAACTTTTTTCCAGGCTTGTACCTTGTACACAGTTATATCTGTTCACTTCTCTGTGCCCTTGCTGCCTGTGTGGCTCTGCTAACAAATCTTGGTAGATTTTTATTTTCCAGTTCCAAATGGTAGCTGTATTTGACATGTTCATATCTTTGATTCTCAGACAAACAATCCAAATATTTCTGAAGTTTAGGTTTGGTACCAATGTTATTTCCCAGGCCTAGGTAAATTTTCATAGTATTAAGAAGGTTTAAAAAAGAGTGAATGTGTGGAGATGATGCTATTAGAAATGAATTGGGGTCCCAGAAGATGCTCCCTTCTCTCCACCACCTACTCTAGGATCACTCCTGGTCATCTAGTAACAATCCCAGGACAGGCACCTGACCTGTGGAGCAACTTGCTTTTGCCTGCCTGGAAGAAATAGCAGGTGATGCTTGCTGGCCAGCTGTGCCAGTGTTACTTGGACCTGCAGCTAGCTCAGTGCAGAGAGACCAACACTGTAAACACAACAAAGGAAACCACCACATCCATCTGAGCCTCTCTACCTTGGGAGGGAAAAAAAATACACTGTGACAGAACTGAAATAAGGAGAAGGAAATTTCAGTCATTCTCCTTGGCCCATATTTTTCTAAATATGTATTAATTTCAATTGCCCATGTGCATAGACATGAGGATGAGGTTAAAGAGAATACAAGCCATTTCTTAGGGGTCAGTGTCAAAGAAAACTACAGTGTTACAGACTTCCTGGATTCAAATAACTGGAATCTTTTATTTAAGTTTAACCTAAACTACTTTTGCCTAAACTCCAATTTTAGGAGAAAGACAAAAGAAGGAGCTGCCAGACATTTAGTTAAATAAAATACTTCTGCGATATGCCCTGGAATTTGTTTATAAGTAGCTCAGGCTCTAGACGTACATTTAGTTAGTTTTTTTCTGTTAAGAGAATCAAAGATTACATTGATGGCCCTCTCATAGGAGGACATTGAATTTCTATAGACAAAATATATGATATTTGATATCCTATTTAATTAGGCAAGAATTTTTAAAGAAAATTTTAAAAAGCAAGAGTAGTTTCATTATTCATTAGGAATAAGAATATTAACCAAAATAGCTTATTCATTGTGAACAGGTCATCTCTTTGGCCTTTTATTGTACTTGTCCAACAGGACCTCTTCCTCTCATACCCCTATAAAGAACAGGGATTATTAGGGGCCCTACATTACCCAATCTGCGCATTTCTCTCATTTTGTAATTGACATACCATAAAATTTACCATTTTAAATATATAATTATTTTTGCATATTCACAGTGTGTAACCATCTATTTTACAGTTTTTATTGAAAAAAGAAACCCCTTACACTTAATGAACTTTTTAAAAAAAGATTTTATTTATTTATTTTTAGAGAGAGGGGAAGGGAATGAGAGAGGGAGAGAAACATCAATATTGTAGCTGCCTCTTGTGTGCCCCCAACTGGGGACCTGGCCCACAACATAGGCATGTGCTCTGTCTGGGAATTGAACCAGTGACCCTTTGGTTCGTAGGCTGGGGGTTAATCCACCAGCCAGGGTGATCTTTAGTGAACTTTTAAACAGTTATAAAACATTTCTCTCTTTCCCCAACTGCTTGCAACAAGTAACCTACTTTTCGTTCCTGTGGATTTGCCTATTGTGAATATTTTACATTAGTGGATGTATACACTATGTAGTCTGTCTTGTCTGGCTTTTTTCACTTAGGAAAATGTTTTCAGGGTTCATACACCTTTAAGCATACATTAGTACTTCATGCACTTTTTTTTTATTTTGAGAGTACATTTATTAATGCTGGGGACAATGAAACAAGGAAGGTCTTAGGATGGAAGCAACAGGAGAACCTAGGATGGGCTGATTTGGCTCACTAGAAAATCAGAGAAAGGGAAGACATAGAGACAGGTCCATGGGATTAGCCCAGGGCAAGCTGCAGCTACCCACTGCTCCCCTGGGGACTCTCAGAGTTTAAGAGATGCACACCTATAGGGGAAGAAAAGTGTGGGTATGCTCTTGGGAGGGAGAGCACACAGTATTTTATTCCTTTTTATTTCCAAATAATATTCCATTTATGGATTACAGTATAATTTTTGGAACATTTAAAAAAATTTTCTTTTAAAATTACAGTTGACATTCAATACTACATTAGTTTCAGGTGTATAGCATAGTGGTCAGTCATTTATACAACTTACAAAGTGATTCTCCCAAGAAGTCTAGTACTTACCTGGCACTATATGTAGTCATTACAGTATTATTGACTACATACCCTATGCTGTACTGTACATGCCCATGAACCATGATTGTTTTTTTATCCATTCATTGGTTGGTGGACATTTGTATTATTGCTACTTTTTAGCTATTATGAATAGTCTGGGTTCTCTAGAGAAACAGAATTCATATGAAACAGAACTTATATGAATATATATGTATATAATATATGTGCATATACATATATGTGATTTAATGTAATTATGGACACTGAGAAGTCCAAGATATGCAGTCAGCAAGCTAGAGGCCCAAGATAGATGAGAGTATAAATTCCAATCCAAGTTTGAAGGCAAGAGAAGACTAATGTTCTAGCTCAAAGACAGAAGAGAAAGCTAAATCTCCCTTGTTGAGTCTTTCTGTTCTATTCAGACCTTCTCCAGATTGGATGAGGCTCACCCACATTGGAGAGAGCAATCTGCTTTACTCAGACTACTGAGTCAAACATTAATCTCATCCAGAAATACCTTCATAGCCACCCCCAGAATGATGTTTAACCAAATATCTGGGTACCTCATGGCCCAGTCAAGTTGACAAAAAAAAATCAAACATCACAGATACATTCCTAGGAGTAGAATTGATGGATCATATGATAACCCTTTGTTTTAACTTTTTAAAAAAAAACTAACAGACTGTTTTCCACAGTAGCTGCACAATGAGCCTCAGCAATGTATGAGGGTTCCAATTTCTCCACACCTTTGTCATGGTTATTCTAGTGCGTATAAACTAGTACTGCACTGTGGTTTTGATTTGCATTTCCCTAATGACTAATGATGTTGAGCATATCTTCATGTGCTATCACCATTTGCATATCTTCTCTGGAGAAATGACTATTCAGTCTTATGCATATTTTCAGTTGGGTTATTTATCTTTTTACCATTAAGCCAAAATAATTCTTTTTAATTTTGTATTGTATACTCTTATTAGATATATGATTTGCAAGTATTTTCTCCCATTCTGGGGGCTGAATTTTTACTTTCTTGTTAGAGTCCTTTAATGCACAAAAACTTTTAATCAAAAATGTATCTCTACATTGAGTGATATAAAACTCCTTTGCTCTCTCCTACAGGACCTTGAGCAGACCCATATTGCTCACTCATATCACAACAATATGAGTACATTCTTTTTGATTTTCAAACCATAGAAAAACAAGTCTTTATGTAACAGATTCCTGATTCAGCTGCCTGTTCGCACTGAAAACCAAACGTATGAGACAGGTATTGGTGACAAGGAAAGTGCTTTATTTGAGTACTGGCATCTGAAGAAGATGGGTGGATACTGTCCACAAAAACCCATCTTAACAGCTCTAGCCAAGTCAGCAATTCTTGTAGAAAGTTGGTGGGAATTTAGGAGGGGAATAATTCCTAAAGGGAGCCCAGATGAGCCATTTATCTTAAGAGTAAGGGGAGGGAGGACTGAAAGGGGAGCTGCACAGCTTTTACCCAAGCTCACTTGCTTCATTCAGCATTAGCATTCCTCCCTTCCCTGGGCCCCTGTGGTTTATGGCTGATTTCACTATATCTGGCAACTGCAAAGAGAACTAACTAAAGCACAAGGTTGATTAAATACTTTGATTTGTTTCAGAGCACATAACTTTGATTACTAGCTGGGAGATACTAAATTATAGTTACAACTTAACATCTTAGTGCAGGCAGAGGTTTTTACAGGGAGGCAAGGGAAAGCAGAACAAAGAGATCAGGGAAGGGGTGTGGACATGGAGGCAGTGGAATGAGTGGCTACAGGGGAAATTAAGGCAGGGCCCTCACCATTCCAATCTAACAAAGAACTTAATACAGGAGACTAAAAGCAAAAGCTCACACATTGACCCAGTAATCCTGAGCCTGGACTGATAAAGCTTCCAGGTATCCCAAACAAGTGAAATTATGATAGCGTAGAAAGTGGGGAGCCCCTGAAAGTCTGTGTGTATCATCTTCACCAGCTTGGAAAAGGAAAAGCTTGAGACTGTGTATTCATCCCAAGGCCTGGAAGGAAGAAGAGGAGGGGGTCCACAGTGCCCAAAGAAAAAAACCCATAAACAACTTGGATTAACTGCCTGCCTCATCACATATGCAAAATGAACATATAGACTCTAGAGTAAGATCAAGATTCAGGCTAACAGATCCCCACCCATACCTACATTTGAGTAGTCACATCTCTCCAGGGGAAGCTGGCAACACCTTTACCTGTCAATCAAAATGTAACTTCTTCACTCCCATCCCACCAACTATATAAGTCCTCAGAACAAAGGGCTAACTCTTTTCTCTTGGCCTCTTGGCTCTTTTTGCCACATAGGGGGGTCCTGGCCACCTGGCCTCTGGCCATCAGGATGCTGGCCACCCCATTTTTGCCACCCCTGCTCTAGCCACACTTCTAGCCACTTTCCTATTAAAACTTAGCATGAATAAACTTTGCTTGCATGCTAGTAGGCTTGCCAGCCTGTGATTCTTTACTGCATCAGTGAGAAGAACCAAGTTTTGGGGAGTTTCTCCCATAACACTTGCTGGTCCTGATATGGATCTTTATGGTCAGCATCCTTGCGTTGGCAGGACTCTAAGCTGAGACTGTATCTTAGATTTGCACAAGAACTGAACCTGTTGATTCAAATAAAGTGTAT